TCAGTTCAAGTAGATATTGAAGCTCCGAAAATTGAAGCTCGACCAGGGAGTGTTGAAGGATCGCCATCCAAATTCAAATTGCCAACAATCAAGTTACCCAAATTAGGTGTTGCCTTACCACAGGTCAGTGTTGGAGTGCCTGATATGGACACAGACATCAAGGTGGACGGAGCGGGTCTAAAATCACCAGAAGTCAAGTTTGAGGCTGAAATTCCTGAGCCTGCCACAGATATAGATGTCACAGTGAAGAAGTCTCGATTCTCATTTCCCAAATTCTCACTAACCAAGCAAAGCAGCAAAGAGTCTGAGGTTGATATTGGTCTCCCAGATGTTGATGTTTCAATTCCAGAAGGGAAAATGCAAATCACTTCTCCTAAAGTAGAGTTTCAACCACCAGAAGTGGATGTCAATATAGACGGCCAGGAGAGCAAATTCAAAATGCCAAAGTTTGGCATCTCTATGCCAAAAATGAAAGGACCCGATATTGATTTCAGCTTGTCAAAGAAGGAGGGAGAGATCAAACTTCCAGAAACTGAAGTTGAACTCCCGGATGTTGACGTTAACCTACCATCAGTTCAAGTAGATTGAATGTCAAGTCACCAGAATTAAAAGTTGAAGCCAAAATTCCAGAATTTGCCACAGATATTGATGTCAAAGTGAAAGGTCACAAGAGTGAAGCTCAAGCAAGCATTCTGGAGGAATCTCACTCTCAATTCAAATTCCCAACATTGAAATTACCGAAATTCGGGATGGCTTTACCACAGGTTGATTTGGAAATGGACAAAGATGTCAAGGTGGATCAAGTGAATGTCAAGTCACCAGAATTAAAAGTTGAAGCCAAAATTCCAGAACTTGCCACAGCTATTCCAGATGTTGATGTTTCAATTCCAGAAGGGAAAATGCAAATCACTTCTCCTAAAGTAGAGTTTCAACCACCAGAAGTGGATGTCAATATAGATGGCCAGGAGAGCAAGTTTAAAATGCCAAAGTTTGGCATCTCCATGCCAAAAATGAAAGGACCCGACATTGATTTTAGCTTATCAAGGAAAGAGGGAGAGGTCAAACTACCAGACACTGAAGTTAGCAAGCAGTCTGGAGGAATCTCCCTCTAAATTCAAATTCCCAATATTGAGATTACCGAAATTCGGGGTGGCTTTACCACAGGTCGATTTGGAAATGGACAAACATGTCAAGGTAGACGGAGCGGGTTTAAAATCACCAGAAGTAAAGGTTGAGGCTGAAATTCCTGAGCCTGAAGCTCCGAAAATTGAAGCTCGACCAGGGAGTGTTGAAGGATCACCATCCAAATTCAAACTGCCAACAATCAAATTACCCAAATTAAGTGTTGCCTTACCACAGATCAATGTTGAAACAATCAAATTACCCAAACTAGGAGTTGCCTTACCACAGGTCAGTGTTGAAGTGCCTGATATGGACAGAGACTTCAAGGTGGACGGAGCAGGTCTAAAATCACCAGAAGTTAAGGTTGAGGCTGAAATTCCTGAGCCTGCCACAGAGCTTAATGTCAAAGTGAAGAAGTCCAGATTCTCATTTCCCAAATTCTCACTGACCAAGCAAAGCAGCAAAGAGTCTGAGGTTGATATCGGTCTTCCAGATGTTGATGTTTCAATTCCAGAAGGGAAAATGCAAATCACTTCACCTAAAGTAGAGTTTCAACCACCAGAAGTGGATGTCAACATAGACGGCCAGGAGACCAAATTCAAAATGCCAAAGTTTGGCATCTCCATGCCAAAAATGAAAGGACCCGACATTGATTTCAGCTTGTCAAAGAAAGAGGGCGACATCAAACTACCAGAACCTGAAGTTGAACTCCCGGATGTTGATGTTCAACTACCATCAGTTCAAGTAGATATTGAAGCTCCGAAAATTGAAGCCCGACCAGGGAGTGTTGAAGGATCGCCATCCAAATTCAAATTGCCAACAATCAAATTCCCCAAATTAGGAGTTGCCTTACCACAGGTCAGTGTTGGAGTGCCTGATATGGACACAGACATCAAGGTGGACGGAGCAGGTCTAAAATCACCAGAAGTCAAGGTTCCTGAGCCTGCCACAGATATAGATGTCACAGTGAAGAAGTCTAGATTCTCATTTCCCAAATTCTCACTAACCAAGCAAAGCAGCAAAGAGTCTGAGGTTGATATTGGTCTCCCAGATGTTGATGTTTCAATTCCAGAAGGGAAAATGCAAATCACTTCACCTAAAGTCGAGTTTCAACCACCAGAAGTGGATGTCAATATCGATGGCCAGGAGACCAAATTCAAAATGCCAAAGTTTGGCATCTCCATGCCAAAAATGAAAGGACCCGACATTTTTCAGCTTGTGTCAAAGAAGGAAGGAGAGATCAAACTTCCAGAAACTGAAGTTGAACTTCCGGAAGTTGACGTTAACCTACCTTCAGTTCAAGTAGATATTGAAGCTCCGAAAATTGAAGCTCGACCAGGGAGTGTTGAAGGATCGCCATCCAAATTCAAATTGCCAACAATCAAGTTACCCAAATTAGGTGTTGCCTTACCACAGGTCAGTGTTGGAGTGCCTGATATGGACACAGACATCAAGGTGGACGGAGCGGGTCTAAAATCACCAGAAGTCAAGTTTGAGGCTGAAATTCCTGAGCCTGCCACAGATATAGATGTCACAGTGAAGAAGTCTCGATTCTCATTTCCCAAATTCTCACTAACCAAGCAAAGCAGCAAAGAGTCTGAGGTTGATATTGGTCTCCCAGATGTTGATGTTTCAATTCCAGAAGGGAAAATGCAAATCACTTCACCTAAAGTCGAGCTTCAACCACCAGAAATGGATGTCAATATAGACGGCCAGGAGAGCAAATTCAAAATGCCAAAGTTTGGTATCTCCATGCCAAAAATGAAAGGACCCGACATTGATTTCAGCTTGTCGAGGAAAGAGGGAGAGATCAAACTACCAGAAACTAAAGTAGAACTCCCCGATGTTGATGTTAAACTGCCATCAGTTCAAGTCGATATTGACGCTCCAAAAATTGAAGCTCGACCAGGGAGTGTTGAAGGATCGCCATCCAAATTCAAACTGCCAACAATCAAATTCCCCAAATTAGGTGTTACCTTACCACAGGTCAATGTTGAAGTGCCTGATATGGATACAGATATCAAGGTAGATGGAGCGGGTCTGAAATCACCAGAAGTAAAGGTTGACGCTGAAATTCCTGAGCCTGCCACAGAGCTTGATGCCAAAGTGAAGAAGTCTAGATTCTCATTTCCCAAATTCTCATTAACTAAGCAAAGCAGCAAAGAATCTGAAGTTGATATCAGTCTCCCAGATGTTGATGTTAAACTACCATCAGTTCAAGTCGATCTTGAAACTCGACCAGGGAGTGTTGAAGGATCGCCATCCAAATTCAAACTGCCAACAATCAAATTCCCCAAATTAGGTGTTACCTTACCACAGGTCAATGTTGAAGTGCCTGATATGGCATCTCCATGCCAAAAATGAAAGGACCCGACATTGATTTCAGCTTGTCAAAGAAAGAGGGCGACATCAAACTACTACAACCTGAAGTTGAACTCCCAGATGTTGATGTTAAACTACCATCAGTTCAAGTCGATCTTGAAACTCGACCAGGGAGTGTTGAAGGATCGCCATCCAAATTCAAATTGCCAACAATCAAGTTACCCAAATTAGGTGTTGCCTTACCACAGGTCAATGTTGAAGTGCCTGATATGGACAGAGACATCAAGGTAGATGGAACGGGTCTAAAATCACCAGAAGTAAAGGTTGAGGCTGAAATTCCTGGGCCTGCCACAGATATTGATGTCAAAGTGACAAAATCTAGATTCTCATTTCCCAAATTCTCATTAACCAAGCAAAGCAGCAAAGAATCTGAAATTGATGTCGGACTACCAGATGTTGATGTTTCAATTCCCGAAGGGAAAATGCAAATCACTTCACCTAAAGTCGAGTTTCAACCACCAGAAGTGGATGTCAATATAAATGGCCCCGAGAGCAAATTCAAAATGCCAAAGTTTGGCATTTCCATGCCAAAAATGAAAGGACCCGACATTGATTTCAGCTTGTCAAAGAAAGAGGGCGACATCAAACTACCAGAAACTGAAGTAGAACTCCCGGATGTTGATGTTAAACTACCATCAGTTCAAGTAGATATTGACGCTCCGAAAATTGAAGCTCGACCAGGGAGTGTTGAAGGATCGCCATCCAAATTCAAACTGCCAACAATCAAATTACCCAAACTAGGAGTTGCCTTACCTCAGGTCAATGTTGAAGTACCTGTTATGGACACAGACATCAAGGTAGACGGAGCAGGTCTAAAATCACCAGAAGTCAAGGGTGAGGCTGAAATTCCCGAGCCTGCCACAGAGCTTGATGTCAAAGTGAAGAAGTCTAGATTCTCATTTCCCAAATTCTCATTAACTAAGCAAAGCAGCAAAGAATCTGAAATTGATATCGGTCTCCCAGATGTTGATGTTTCAATTCCCGAAGGGAAAATGAAAATCATTTCACCTAAAGTGGAGTTTCAACAACCAAAACTGGATGTCAATGCACATGGTGACCTTAAACTCCCAGATTCTGAAATAACACTACCATCTGCTGAAGATGAAATAGAAATTTCAAAGATTGAAGGTCCAAAAAGTCGTGTTGAAGGTTCTCCAACAAAATTCAAATTACCACCATTCAACTTACCGACATTTGGAGGTTCCCCATCAAAGGTTCGTGTTGAAGTGCCCGATGTGGACAAAGACACTGAAATTGATGCCATAAAGCTGGAGATATTTGAAGAGGAAGCAAATCTGGTCCTTTCAACAACCAGCACTGACATTGAAGGACAGTCAGTGGAAGTGAGAACTAAAGGAGATGAACTTCAAGGATCAGGAATCAAAGTGAAACCAGTCCCAGATGTTGACGCTGAGATCAAGCTGCCGGATGTTGAAGGTAAACAATTGGAAGGTACCGTTTCAGCCCCACAAGCACCCAAAGTTGAGGGCGACATCAGGTTGAGCAAAGGGACAGGCAATGTCGACGTGAGTCCTGTCTCTCCGAGCAAATTCAAATTGCCATCCTTCAAAATGCCAAGACTGGCATTCTCACGACACAAACCAGAAGGACAAAGTGTGTCACCTGACACAGAATATAAAGACAGTCGATCGGAGATGAAAGCCGAACTGAGTGGAGATGGAAAATCACCGCAAGCCACTCCCGCATCATTTGGGGTTGATGTTGAATTTGAGGTGCCAAAAACAGAAAAGGGGGAAGGACACCCAGAAACCCCAAAGGAAGAAATAGAAAGGAAGGACAAACAGACCAAGCAAGAAGCTACCAAAAGTCCGGAACGGACGGGATGGTTTCGGTTTCCAACATTTGGGCTCTCCTCACCTTCAGAACCTGCCAAAACGGCCATCAAAAATGACGAGAAGGATAAAAAGAGCCCATCAGGGGAACGTGAAGAAGACATGAGCCCGACTTGTTCTGCGCGGTCATCAGACATTTATGCTGACATCAGCTCAACAGCGACAAGCGAGTATGTCAGTTTGCACTCATCTTCTCCAACCAAGGTGACAGTCAAATACTCCAATCAGAACTTACCTCCAGATCTCGGAGAAATGAACATCCTGACTTCCACTGCCATGTCCGAGCTGATCACAATCGAGCCAAACTTACCTGAGAAGATCACTATCCTGTCATCTGAGGTCTTGTCTTCCTCTGAGGAGACTCTCAGATTGGCATCAGAGAAAATACACGTCGTTACATCCAAGGTACAAGCAGGCCCTGAATCACATCACGCCAAACTTCTGCCCACGGTTCAGTCGACAGGCGAGGCCGGTCAGATGTCATCATCGTGGACAGTGGAGAGTTCTCAGAGCAGCAGGAGGACGGTGTCACAGAAACGAATTGTACATGAAACGTCGCGCGAAAGCACAGAAACCTTCGTGATTACCAAACAGATCACCAAAACGTTCGAACCCAGTGAGTTCTTCGCCAACGACGAGACGGCTTCGTCCATCCAGCGTCTCCGAGAATCGGTACACTCGGAGAAAATGAGATTTTTTGACGGTGCTGAGAAGTGAGGTGCTAGCTCATCGATGTTTAATCGAGGACAGGTAGTAATTAAACCTCTGGCTGCATGTTGCTGAATGAAAAATGAAAAGAAAGATGGACAAACATTCTTGGCAGAGGAAAAAAAAATGCAATGAAATTGTTAATAAGCTATGTATCTAGGTGTCTCATGACAGGGCTTCCGTAAATATGCTTACATGTGGTCCAGAAAATGTTTACTTGTAGCATTTGTGCTCTAACATCAAAAGGGTCTTAAGGATCAGGCTATAGCAAAATGAATGTTTACGATAGTTGTCATTAAAAAAAACTTTGTGTGCACGCGCGCGCGTGTGTGTGTGTGTGTGTGCGCGTGTGTGTGAATGTAACCGCTGAGGTGTTCTTGTTGATGCAGTAAGGAAAGACTTGCTAAGAAATGTAACAATTACGACAAAAAAAGTGTACTACTGTAACTATATTTTTATTAATATTTCTGCTTGAACCTAATTTGCTACAGTCCATACATACATCTAAATACATCTAAATACACACATATATATATACACTCGTGTGTGTGTGTGTGTGTGTGTGTGTGCGTGTGTGTGTGTGCATGCGTGTGTGTGTGTGCGTGCGTGTGTATCTGCAGCGCATTCTCAGCCAGTGTGAATGATAATAAATCTGTCAGTGTAAATAGCTTTTACTGACCTCTGGACTATTCCATATGCTTCAACTCCAAACGTTTGCAATATGAAGATGAATAAATACATATTATTAGTCACAGCATGTCTGAAGAGTTCATATCTTACCACACATTGATGACGGGAGGTCAGAGAGCTTCAAGTGAGTTCTTCCACATCAAAGTCACATGGCTTTGTGCACAGGGAACAGAAAAATTAGATACATTGCACGCATACCTGAAAGGGGTCAATTAGAATTTTTCAAGTTTGTGCACAAATTGCGGTGTGTCTCTCTTGCCTGCCCACGAATTAATTATTAAAAATGTGTCACAACATTGAATACAAAAAGCACAGATAAATTCCAAATCTACTTAGATGAAGTGATAAAGTATTTGTACTTCGTTACTTCCCACCGCAATGCCTTTGTGCCTTTATCTCCCTTATTCTGTTCCAGTACTTGTGTTGCTCTAGTTTATACAGTATGTGGATCCTGCATTTCCACTCTAGAGGGAGACACAGCTCACCTAAAAGGTTTGACGGGGCCTCGCGGTGGCTCTGAAGATGAAATAAGTGGCAACAAGAGGTGAATTTGGAGGGGTTTTTATTTTATTTTTTTAACACTGCATTTTCCCAACGCTGTTTCGCTAACCAAGACGTTAACCAAGCTGGCTACCGTCGACGTAACGTTCCAATGAGAAAAAATGAGACCACTTCTTAATTTTATTTCAAACATAGGTCGGATTCTTTATGCGTGATGTAGTTCAAGTTCGGGGGAGATTTTCGGGTACATTTACCTGACAAACGATTCGGCGGACTCCGCTAATTTCAAGCCGTCGAAAGCTTGGAGTCTCGCGCCTGAACATGTGCCGCGTTCACGTGTACCTCGAAAAGGGCACTTTTAGCAACTTCGCACCTGCGATATCGGGTACTAATTTGCCGATTTTAATATCTTAATTACACTCTGTCCGCTATTTCAAAACGAAAATATTGGGGAGTGGGGGGGGGCGTGGGGGGAAGCTTGAATGAGCGATGACCCAGTGGTTTCATGTGGCGTCAATACCGCCTTGGATTGGAAGTCGCTGTTTTTCCGACTGCTCTTGGAGTGGCCGTGGCGCTCCCAACTGCGCATGCGTCCAACACTTTTGCTGGACAACTTGACCGTGGAGCCTCTGCCGCCTGTCGCCCACAACAGTTCGCATCTTCATCAGCATCCGCATCATCATCAGCATCCGCATCAGCAGCAGGCAGCAGCACTGTGATGAGGAGCTTCTTAATCTAGACGAAGAGACAGGTATGGAGCTGTTTATTGAAAACAAACAAACACTTTAGTCTATATTCTATATTTTAATAACGCAACATCAATATGCAAGACTAGATTGTTGAAACTTTCCCCCATGGAGATGTTGGGCATCTGACACAGTTGGTGTTGTGTGTATAATAAGTGTGGGTGTTTCTTTCGAAGGCGACCCACTCTACAATCGGTTCAGAGTGTCAGTCAGCAACCGGGCTACCTGTTGTGAACAAGCTCAATTATTCACCATCTATCACACACAGTATGAACATTTATGTGCGGCAGTAACAAAAAGGGAACAGGAAATGACATGAAAATACCACAAAGCTGCATGCTGCATGTGGACAGGAAATATATTTGGACATCCTTTAACTGTTATTCACAACTTATTCAAGGGATTCTTGATCTTTAATATCCATTTATATCCATGGATGCGTTTGCTTGTGTTTGAGCTTCACGTTCAAATCAAACAGAAAAGTGCTTTTTCTTTTGTCTCCGCGAGAAGCGATTTCATGACATTTTACCATGAAACGCGGGAAAAAATGCAAATTGCAAGCCGTACGTGCGCCACTGACTGAACCATTAGAAGTACATATTTAATCATGTTTAACAGTATAAATCATTTCTTTTTAGGAAAGAGCAAAATCATTAGCTTGTCTTCTTTTTAGGAAACAAACGACAAGCAACCCGTGATTGCTTTGAACAGTCTCATTTATTATAAAAACACCAGTGACTTGAATAATTGACATTACGACTCCAATGTTTTCTTTTTTTTTTTTTTTTTTTTTTGGAACGTTCCACAGTAGAAGTTTGTCTTCTTTTTAGGAAACAAAGGACATAGATCCGGGCAGGGGTCTGAAGTTGTCTTATTTATCACGCCGTAAATATCCTTCATACTAACAAATCAAACAGCTTTATTTGTTTCTTTTGAGGAAAGTTCAGCATCAGTAGTTTGTCTGAAGGCTAAAGTGCAACCATTTGTGTAGAAGGCTTGCATGTTGGACTTCAACAAGATACAGTAAAACTCTGTCAATTTCTTCTTTCGCCATTCATCAGATCGCATATACGCCATTTAGTTTTTTTTCCACCTTATCCATAGACAATTTTTTCTGTGATCTGTTTTTGTGCTCAGCCTAACGTAACGAGTCACATTTTGCACCACCTATTCAAGTCTTGTTGTTGTTCTCTTCAAATCATTGACAGTGTTTTGTTTTGTTTCCCCCCCCCATACACTTTGCCCGCATTCCGCAACGTTGAATTTTTTTTTTTTTTTTTGTAAATGCCAAAGCTTGAGTCAAATGACTTGATGGCGTTGCGTGAAGTGCTTGTGCGCATTTTCGTTTGATCCCGCCGGCATGTCAGGTCGGGTTAGTGCTGCCGTCTTATTCGATGCTGTTGATGGTGCCTCGTGTGAACGGGCTTTGTTTGTGTTGAACATTTTCACTGGATACAGTCGTCGATGTCACTCGGGGACACGAGTGCGTACACGCTCGATGCGCGGCGCTTTGCAGTCGTCTCTGTTTCGAGTGCTTTCCCACCATCTTTTGCCATCCGCACACACTTATAACGTCCCTTCTTGTGGCACTTGAGGATTTCCGCGATTCGCGGCTCGATTGCGATGCCCTGCGAGAAGCACGACCGAAGCATCATGCTTGGTTTCGCTTTTTCAATTCCCGTATCTGTGACATGACTGCACTTCGGACGTTGCCGCCGTCACGTTCAGACCATGGCGGTAATACATCCGGGCTCCGTACCTCGGAAGGAACCACACCGGCCTCGGATGTCGGATGAAGCTGCATTGTTTTTGCGGCGGGGCAACGAGAAGGAGAAGCAACGACAGTTTTTGGCACAGCAAGGTGTCCTCCGGTGATTGACGCCACACACGGGCGCTCCCCAAATCAGCTGTGGGCCTCGCGCGCTCAAGCAAAGTGCTCTGCTCCACTCACTCGACTCATCGCAGGAATCTCATCCTTCGCTGCCCATGGCAACAGCAGCTGGCAGTCCGCTGCTGACGGATTGGATGAAAAGTGACATAACTTGCGAAGGCAGTCGAAAGGAGGCCGGATGGTACATTCGGCCGGGGGGGCAGGTGTGTCTGCGAGGCGTGGGGGTAGTTTCTTCGAACGCTAAAACCACAACCGTATGCAATTGCCATTCTCTTTTTTTAGGATGTATAATTTTATCTTTCATGAAAACAAATTGCGCCCTTCATTCATAAAACACCCAAAAATGTCAACTTGTTCATCTCGCCAATATTTTTTGCATCGGATGCTTATTTGAATAATAAGATAATCTGTTGTTATTTATCGTCATGATACTGATTTGGCTCATCATTTAATGCAACAATAACACATATTTGCTAAGGGATTTGTATTTCATTTAAAGACATATTTTACTGAGATTTTTGTGCTGTGCAAAATTGTTTCATAGCTTTCACAATAAGACAATATATCAGTTATTTTCCTATTCAATAATCAAATACAAATTTTATATACAGAATGTTATTTCAATCATGAAATAGCATTCCATGCTCATTTTTATTTTATTTATGATTACTTCAGCCAAATAACTTTACAAATAAAAAATACGAATGTAAAGCGGATCATGTTGTTGATGTTTGTCTGGTTTTTGTAAAACTGTTCATTCGAATAGTAAAATAATCCACGCTCATTTTTTAATCGATACATTTGATGAAGATGTAAATGCTTGATGGGTCAGATTAAAAAAGTTTTGGGACCCCCCCCCCGCCTACCTCCTGGCCAAATACCTTTGCCCACCCCGTGTATTTATCGACCGTCCCAACCCAGCATCTCCATGGCGATGGAGCCCACAAAGCGAGCCGTTGATCGGCGCTCGCCTGTCGCCGAGCTCGCCGGCCGCCGCCAAATGGCCAACAGCTGCCGACCAGGCAGGGAAGAAAAGACACATTTACCCCCGCCGCCATTTTGCTCTCGTCAAAGCCAACCATAAAGCTACGGGACAAACGGCCGTCTTTTAAAACGCGCAGAAGGTCATTTGGAGACGGGCGCGTTGTGTAACTAAGAGACGGATAGAGGCTGCATTCAGGCTTCCGTGTGTCGGAGTAAGATGCCGCCGAGAAGGCTGCAACGCAACCTTCAAAAACACTCAAGTCCAAGTCACGCACCAACAGAAAACTCACGCTTCTTATCAAGTCTATTGATTTTTTCTGAGCCCACGTCTTGGGGCGATTACACACAAAATCTGCAGCAACGGAGCCGTAGCAGATTTTGGTCAAGGGATTGAGACTAAGTCAAAAGCAATACTGAGTCAAGACTGATGAGTGGAGACCAAGTCGAGACCATTGAGGACTTTAGACTAATTCCAGACCAAAACATTTCGGGACCTTTGAAGGGTTCAGTCCAAGGCAAAGCCAATACTTGAAGGCGTTCAAACAAAGTCAAGACCAAGACTTTGACAGCTCGTGAGCCAATCAAGTCCTTTGAAGGCTCGAGACCAAGTCAAGAGCAAGACTTTGGGGGCTTGAGGCCAAGACCAAGGGATGAATTTAATGGCTTGAGATCAAATCAAATTTAAGACAATGAACTGAGTCAAGACAAAGACTTTGAAGAACTGAGACTAAGACTTTGAGGAGCAGAAACCAGAGGAAGTCCTTTGAAGGACCCAGACCAAGCCAAGACTAGAACTTGGAAAGGTCGAGGTCAAGACTTTGAGTGGTCAATACCAAGAAATTGAGGAGTAGAAAACAAAGACTTGAATGGACTGCGACCCAGTTACGTTCTTTTAGGGGTTGAGACCAAGTCAAGACCTTCAAGGGGTTGAGAATCAAACAAGACCAAGACTTTGACTGTAACTGAGATCAAGACCACCAGCTGTCTTCGGGCAACTGGTTGCCAGCCAATCGCAGAACAAGACCGCCTTCGGTCATTCTCTTTGAACAAACCAATGAAAACTGCATGCTTCCAATCTGCGGCGGCCTCTGTCATCTTATCCACTGATCCAAAGTTTTAAATCAACGAAAGGATTAAGGACTCATGATCCTGAGTTGTTTGCTTTGTGCAGGATGACCGAGGTAATGAACTCTCTGGAATCGGGGGCAGTAGGAGGCGACCAGGATGCAGTATCCTTCCAGAAGTGGCTGTGTACGAAGATGTTTTTGGTTTTTGGTTTTTTTCCACCCGCTTTGTCCTCACAGCAATGGCCAGCAGCGGCGGTGGTGGTGGGGGTGGTGGTGGTGGGCGGTGAGTCACCGGAGCCATGAGTAAAATATGAGCTGATGTCACCACGCTCATTATGAAGTGTTGGTGTCTTTTCCGGAAGACGCCATGTCTGAAATTCATCTTGATTATTTGGTTAACTTAAGGCAGTGGCGATATGGCCTTGACATAAAATCTCTATTGATTTTATTTTATTTTTTTAACACAAAAATTCGATTCCTGAATTTCTGATTGTCATCGATCCCCACTGCCCCACGCTACTTTGCTCATAGAAAACACATTCTAATGATGTCATTCAAAACAATTTTTAAAATCTTTTGGGACATAACATTTGACTCATCGACATCATATTGACGCTGACTTGACATGAAAATTGTGTTGGCAACTGAACTTGAATCGGCCAGCCCCGGTTGCGTTCAAACAAAGCCGAGCTCA